ACTTGTGGAGTTCTGAATCTGACCAATATAGGTCATTGTCACTGAAAAACGAAAATGCTTGATCGGATATAAGTTTTTTTTTTTAGATTGTTTTTTTATTATTGATAGTTAATTTTAAAATGTTGGTTGAGTTAGATTTGAATGTAACTTTGAGTTTTTATTAAATAATATTATAATAAAATAATTAAAATTAATTTGACGTAAAAGTAAGTTCGTGCACCGACACACGAGCTAGTAGTATTGATAATACTCTTAACTAATTAAAGAGTATCTACTAACATTATAGGGTTTGACCAACAATATAGTCCTTATGTTAATTTATACATTCAATTCTAGCAGTTTATTTTTCGTTCACCTTAAATTAAGTCTAAACATAATTAAATAGATCATTATATAATTATTAGTACAACACCCGTGTATTATACGGGTGCTTGTTAATTTTTTTCTTAAAATTTAAAATTAATGAGAAAAAGTAGTTTGAAAATTTAAATACCTTTTATAAGAATATATATATATATATTATTATATATTTATTATGATACTTTTTATTTGTGCGACTTACTTGTGTTAAATTATACTAATTTTTTAACTTACTCTATATAACTACATTAAATATAAATATATCAATTGAGAAATAATTTTATTTTTCTAATGAATTTTAATAAATATTATTATTTTTTATTATTATAAAGATAAATACAATTTATTTATTTTATATATACAATATGGATGTCAAATCGAAGATCAAAAGATGATTAATTTGATATATTATATATGTAAAACCGATAAGAAATACAAAAGTTATCTACTTTTAAAATACATTTATAATTCAATAGCTTATTGAAGGAAGCAAATCAAAATTTAAGGATATATTAGTCACTTAGTGTCTCACTATGTAAAATTAAAAATAATTAAATGGTTATATTAGTAAAAGTGATATTAAAATACCTAAGTTAGCTAAATAATATTTATGGAATACCCGAATCTAGATTATTATTTATTAATATATTAATATTATTTGTCCAAACCTAATTACGAAGCATGATTCTTCGCCAAATAGGATTCCGAAACATCAGAAGCAGCTACGTAAGCTCAGCGCATTCTAGAATTATATATAGGGAAGATATCATTGTTACCAGTATTACTAATACTAGCAATTTTAATTTAGTTTCCTTTTCCTATAAAAGGTACTTAACTGTTAAAAGTAACAATTAATTTTAGATGAAATTATTAGTTATCCATTGTCTTGGTTGGTAGCCAGTCTGCATCAATTGATTCTTGTAAGCTTTTTTTATTTCCCCTTTTATTTCTTGCCTTGCTTTTAGACAAACTACTGTTTATATATTATCAGCCCTCAATTATTAAGCATCATTAGAAGCTCACAAAGCACTTATTATAGAATACTGAAATGGATTAGGTAAATGTGTGTTCTTGCCCCACACTCCAAGAATATGTACCTTTTTTTTTCTTTTTTTTTTCTTTTTTAATTTCAAGTCAGACAGAAGCAAAATTGTATTTTTAGTCATGCTAGTTTAACGTCATAACATTTTTTGTCCTAAGATTTTAACTTTTTGCTTTTTGATCCTGTAATTTAGGATTTTGCTGTAATTTCAGTCATTTGAGAATGAAATTGCAACAAAATTTAAAATTACACGATTTAAATTGTTAATAAAATACCCAAAGATTTCTTATAATCAGTTTAAGTCTTGTAATTTAGAATTTTGTTGCAATTTTAGTCCTCAAGGACTATGTTACATGGACTCGGGTATAGGTGTCGGATACGGGTACATATTTAAGAATCCGGTGTTTATATTTCTAAAAGTTAAGATACGTGGACACGTACCCAAACTTGGACACGGGTACGTAGGTACAACAGTCAGTATAGTAAAATTAAAAGAATTACTTAATTTTACAACACTCATAGGAAAAAAAATATATAGATCATTGCAATTTAGATTCATATTAATTCAATACAAGTATATTACAAATCATTGTATTGTATTTTATTAAATTAGTAACGAAAATGTTTGCTTTTTTTTTTTCTCCTTGGCCAATTAAAGTAAATTTGGCATTAGACATGGCTAATAAGCTAAATAAGAAACAACTCAACTCTTTACTAATAATAAAAGCAAAAATTTTATCTTTACTTAACAGATTGAAAATAATTGTAACTATATCATGAACATGTACTTTATTGCATTTTTACCAATTACATGGTAATTAATTAAAAAAATGACAGGATTTCAGTTACCAAATTCAAATGCAACTCTTCCTTAATTTGTGGAGGTACGCCTCTCTCTCTCTCTTGGCCTCTCTCTCTCCCTCTCTCTCTCTCTATCTCTCTCTCCCTCTCTCTCGTTCTCCCTCTCTCTATCTCCTATTAATTAGGAGTTTGTTCAATACAAATAGGAAAGATTATGAATTTTAATTACAAACGATTTTTCTTCTTGATATACACAAATTCCACAATAGTGAAAACATATTTAGCTAAACACACGTATTTTTTACTTATTGAACTGTTTTTTGTTTATTTTTTAGCATCGCAACATGTTAATAGTGTATATTAAATGTACATTAAACGTATATATTCAGTATATGTTGCAATAATTTTCTATTATACCAAAACAACAAATTGCTGATGACAATCAGATAAAATCACGTATATTTACAGTATATAAAACAAGTTGAAATCGTACTCATATACATATACTAAAAAATATACTGTTGACCTTAACATCTATTAAAAAACAGTATATTTTTTTGGGAACATATACATCATATATACTCATTGTATATAGTTGACACAAAAGAAAATATATATATAGAAGATAAATCAATATAGTCATTATATACACAATATATACAGAAGACATACAAAAAGAAAATTTTGTTAATGAACATGCTCCAAAAAAAATCACACGACACAAAAGAATGTCGCATATACATTACATATACTGAACATATACAACCTACGGGTGTTAATTGATAACAACTTCTAAACATTTAATACAAAATGAATTATATACATACAATATACGTAACATATACAAATTATATACACATTGTTGCCTGCGACGGTGCCGCTGCCGCTTTCACCGTCTCTGCAATTCCTCGTCCCATCATCTCTGCCTCCTATCCCACCACCACTTGTCCTCTCTTTCTCCGCACCCTTGCCCTCTCTCTCCTCTTCTTCCGCCTCCCTCCACCATCGTCATCTAATCTCACCGTGCCCCTATCTCTTCTTCTCGGCCTCGGACGTTTTAACTCACTCAGCCTCTTTGTCTTCTTCTTCTTCTTCTTCGCCTTCTCCACGGCCGATTTACGGATCCCTGTTTTATTTTGCGGCGACCGTGCCAGTTTTATTCAGAAGAATCGAGAAAAATCATTATACAAGTTTTCATTTAACAAAATAAATAGTCGGGCATTTTTGTTGTATTTTTTTTCAAAAAAACGAACAGTGAAGGAGAAAAAAAAAATGATTGAGGAAGATGGAGTGAAAAGTAAAGTAAATTAATGGAGGTGGTTGTGCTCATGGATGATTACTGAGAGAAAAAAAACGTTAATGGTCATGGGGTTACATTTAGAATCCCAATAAATTAGGAAGTTACCATTCAAAAACTACCTCTTTAATAATTATCTATAAAAAACGGTTGTAAGTTTATATTGTATTAGTGCAATTATTTTTCACAGATTTGTTATGTTTGCAAAGAAATAATTTTATTCGTATAGATGCAATATTTTTTTGTTTTGTTTGTTTACAGGGTAATTTTCTCATAGTAAAAAGGATGTTGGCCCAAACGAATAGGCCTCATATCAACATAGCCCACTAACCCCTTATCCATTCCTCATTTGTCAGAAAACCCTAACCCCTCGTCTCCTCCGGCGATTCCTGATTCACAGCTACCACCATGCCCCAGGCCCTCTTCCTCAGATCCGACCAGCCAAACCGGTACTTTCTCACCTTAGCCATCTTTTTTCCCTTCTTTCCCACAAGGTTCGCAACATCTTCTTCACCCGTCGAGCCCATTTTTTTTCCCTTCTTTCCCACAAGGTTCGCAACATCTTCTTCACCCGCCTCGACACATGTTAATAGTCAACGTATCCAGCCTGTTTTGATTGGATCGGAGCCGGATTTCATATCAGTACCCGTGTCGTGTCGACACGGGTACGCTGGCGGTAGGTGGCGAGTCCGGGGCAACATAGCTCAAGGACTAAAATTGTGAATTTTCAAATCGACCAAATAAAAATCTTCAGATCTTAGAACTAAAACCGCCAATAAATCAAACCAACATGCAATTTTGCATCAAACAAACGTTTAAAATATGATTTTTTTACCAAAAAAAAATCAAAACTTAACTTGCAGACAAACAAATATAGGAAAAAGTGGGAGTGGAAAGAAATGAAAAGCACGTATTCACTGAATACGTTTTCTGCAATTCTTAATTGTAAAACGTATTCCGTGAATACGTTTTCTTTTGTAAAAAAAATGTAAAAAACGTATTCCTTGAATACTTTTACAGTGAATTGTAAAGAAAACGTATTTAGTGAATACGTGTTTTTTATTTTGGTCCATTCCCCCCTTTTTCTTTTTGTTTTTTGTCCACTTACTACTTTTTTATTAATAAATATATAAATTACCCTTTTAAATATACACACGTACAATAAAAAAAATTAAAGAACATAAATAAAAACACGAGTACACTGTACACATCATAGTTATTTCAGATCAATTAGAAAGAAACAAAAAAGAAATAAAGATTATTAAAAAAAAAAATGCTAATTTCGAAGATTCCAACTGTCACCCACCTGGAAAGCGGAAAAGGGAATTAATTACAAGATGGAGCCCATGAAAACAAATAATTAAATGAAAATGTGAGGAGAGAGATAGCTTAAAAGGCGGCCTAAAAATGGGCGATTTTGCGGTGGCGCAGCCGGTGCCTGGCCGTGCCGGCCTCCGTCTCCAAGTTCTTCAACCTCCGTATCGCCACCGTATCCCCTTTCTCCACCTCCTTCACCACTCGCAATTCTGACAAACAATACATTATCACATTGAAAAAAAAAACCATTATCGTCAGCAAAAAAATAACCCAAAAAAGACAATTAATCAACGGCAATTGCTTACTACCTGTGGAATCGGAGAGAGTCCCAGGAAAATCGAACTCAGCCAAATCTGCAGAAAAAAAAAAACCCCAATTAATCAGCTGCTTAAAACAATTTTTGTTTTCAATTAGCGATAGCGAGCAATTGAGTAGAGCTTAGGGACCATTTTGAGAAGGATCGTGAGATGCGAGGTAGAGAACGAGAAAGCAGACGAGCGTGAGCATTGGGATCAGATGAATGTAAGGTTGGGGCTTATTGTCAAAATTGGGAGCCCTAATTTTTATCATCTTCTTCGCATCTTCGTCTCGAGCTTCTGCAGATGATGATGGCGATTGAGAGGGAAATTGTTTCTGAGCTTCGCAGCTCAGCTGCTCGGCGGCTTTCGCGAGCTTCGACGACGGCGAGCCCAGCGACTGCCGGTGCATGTTTGCTTGGTTTAGAGAGAGAGAGAGAGGGGGGTGGGTAGTGAGAGTGTTTTTTGGGTAAAGATAGAAAAGCAGCTGTCAAACCCACCCAGCTAAAGAAGAGGTTCTTGTGTTGAGATTTGAGAACTTGAGATGGAGGGTTTATTTCATTTATTTATTTTTGTAGAAAAATAAAATAAGTCCATTTTGTTATAATATATTACTATTAGGGTAAATCAAACCACTGCAATATATTAAATTTGCGCGTTTTCTCCTCGTAATTTAAAAATTGCGTCAAACCCCTTTGTAATGTACTTTTGTAATTTTTTGGTGCTCTTTGTATTCGAACCTTGGCCAAAAGGCTAGTAGGCAAGACTTCCAACCACTATGCCACAATCATTATATGGTACATATCTAACACCCATTTATATAAAATTGTAGAACACAAGAAAACTTAATCAAACAAAAAATCAAACAATCACAAAATAAAGTAACAATTTAAAATATTATTAAAATAAAATATTATGAAAATTAAAATAAATTTTAATATAAATTTTAAATATATGTATTTATGAATTGAAGTAATATAATATATAAGTAAAACTAAACTAAATTAAATATAACGATTATTATATATTATATATA